CTGAAGTTTTTTTAAATGTACCCGCCAGCGCTCGATTGTCTATTACAAGGACTTATTATGTATAATATTTATATATGTGATATATCAACTAGCTATTCTAAAAAAATCAAGCAAAAATGGGCGCCAAAATCTCGTTGTAAGTGATCGAGCTACGAGAGTTTTAGTTACCATGTAACAATGATACTTTGACCCGATGATTGGGTAAAATGCATCAATATTTGAGGGGTAAAAGCAAATCTCGTAGCTCTATCGCTCACAACGAGATCCCAATTATGTCTAGGAATACTCGGTCAAGGATATAAATTAACTTTAAAATTAACAAATACTTTATGTTGTTAGCCTTAATTGGAAGTAAATTGCCAACTTCCGGTTTTCCTAATTTATTATGTTTCTTGGAGGTATATTTATACTGAGTATACGTAACAATGCTGGAAGCAATCTCATTTTTTGTTTGTTTGTTTTTTTCCCAGAGGTTATACCGCATACAACTCCACCCCCACCAACCCCAACAAAATGTAAGTTCATCACATTCTTTGTCGCTTAAAGTATAGCTCCTTACCGCGGTCTAAGAGGTCAAATGCCTGAGCCCGTGCTAGGAAATGTTAGGTACGGATTGAATCTGGCCTAACGAAGTATGCGTGAACGCTTAGCTTGGACCATGTGCTTGGACTAAGCACCCAAAATGCCATCATTGCATTGAATGTCCATTTGGACGATTTACTATATTTATAACGGCAAACCATTTCCGATATGATAATGAACGCGAGCACATCTACAGACATTTTTCCTGAGAAAAAAAAAACTATGAGGCACTGTGCTACTTTCTGTTATTCAGCAATCTGCACTTGAACTTGCTTTGGTATGTATAGTTTTATAACCGTATGTGCTACCGTCGTTTATTTCATTGGTTATAAACAATGGTAGTTACGTAAGGAAAACAAGACTGGAAATTGAATAATCCAGAATGACAGCAGAGTTAACCTTTAGTGGTTATCGTTAGTGTTATCATGCAACATGTTCTTTCAGTTTTCTCCTAATATCACACGTTTTACGAAACAATGTCAACATAGTTACATTGTCCATATTTTTTTATGAATACGACTATGTTTACTTTGCTTCAGTACCCGTATAAACAAGAATTCGGGAAAAAGATAGATCCTCAATAGAAGCTAATCAACAAGAACAGTTGGTGGATTAATTAAACAAGATCTATATCCCACATAATTCAATAACGTGTCGTGGATTCAAGTTTTCATTCAATGTGTTTATTTCCTCGCCTCGTATTTTTTTATTAATTTTTTTGAGTTGCCAATTAAATGACTATTGCTCTGTTTCAAGCTGCCAGGTGCCATGACTCATTGGATTGGTATTTATACATGGAATCGTGTTATTACTTCAGTGATATAAGTGATAGCATAAACGGGAGGAAGTCTTGGTGAAGCCAGACAGTACTGCTATCGTAACGGTGGTGACTTAGTTTCCATTCACAGTAACGAAGAGCAAAGATTCGTTCACAGTAATGTTAGTAACTAATTTGTAATAAGTTCTTACGTGACTTATCTCGTTTTACAAGTCTAATCGTTGTTTAATTGTTTAATCATTGAACATATCAACAGATGCCAAACTCATTTTGGATTGGGATTCGAGAATATGGTGCAGGAAATAAAGAAGTGTAGGTAGACATACATTTTTTTAAGCCAATGAAGCATATCGGGTTAAGGTTATATGTGAAACGCAAATCTCGCACACAGTATTTGCGTGAAGTTCGTGCGGTAGCATGTTTAAATAGTTACGTTAAATTTGAATAATGCACGAGAATAATTAGGGACGATTACGAAAATTAAAGTGGCCATGAGACTAAGTATACATTTTCATTTATTTATAACTATTTCGTGTACGTGGTAATGTATTTATTCGGTAAAATACCTGGCAACGAGCATGTGCTTTGCTTTTTTTCTTTCCATTACGTCCTATTAATTTCACGAGTAGCTCCGAAGAAATGATGTTGTGTGTAGTATGTAGAGAAAATGTAGTATCCCAAGAACCCCCATACTTCAAGGAATGTATCTAAACTGAACAAAATGTTTTCCTTTTTAATTTATATGTAATTATATTTATTTTCGTTCTGTTAGGTGGTCTGATGGAACTCCCGTTGATTATGTTTTCTGGGGGCCGGGCGAACCGAACGATAGTAATGGAGAGGAAGAGTGTGCTGAGTTGCGTTACTACGGTGTGTTGTGTAGAATAATCATCCGCATGTTTCTTGAATCGGGAGGGTCGTCACCTGCGCACGCGTTGGAATTGAATCCCAAGCGACGATAACAACATACGCTAGAAACGCAAAGGCTCATGGGTAGATGACATGCTATGGCCACCTGACGCATGCGCAGGTGCCGACTCCTCGCTTTAAACATCCTTACATATCGTGTCTGTACTGTTGTAATAAGCATGCACAAATGATATTGTAACTGTTATTATTTTGCTAATAGACGGTACCTGGAACGACATGAATTGTGGTGATCGTATGACGTATGTCTGTAAGAAATTCATAGGAGTGGCACCACCAACCCATGACCCCACGGTGCCACCTGATGGCAACTGCCCTGCTAATTTCACGTTGTCTCACGGTGGGAAATGTTATGCGTTTCGTGGCGTGGATGGTGAAGTGAGCGCTGATTGGTTTGAAGCGAGAAAACAATGTCAATTCACACCAGGCGGTAATCTGGCTACTATACACAGCCAGGAGGTTCAAGGTAAATTCTTTATCATTTTTGTCACCGTGACTATTTATATTGTTTCGATATTCTAAATCGCTAAATGGATACAATGTGTATCTTTCAAATTTGTTTAAACTTCCTTTTAAAAATGAACACCCACTTCTCGTTGAGATCGATAGAGTGACGAGACTTGAATCCTCCCTCAAATAATGCTTCATTCTCTCCCGTCATCACGTCACCTGTTTTAGATA